GACCAAACATATTGAGTTGGATTGCCATTTCGTACGAGACAAAGTATCAGCTGGGTTGATTAAACTGCTCCCTGTGCGTTCGGATCTTCAACTTGCTGACATTTTTACTAAGGCTGTTTCTACTCCTTCTTTTTCTCATTTGTTATCCAAGATGGGTGTATCAAATCTTCTCCTTCCATCTTGAGGGGGAGTATTAGGAGTAGTTACTTAGTTAGATATTAGTTAAAGTAACTAATTTCTTATGGCCTATATATATGGCTACCTGTTGATAATTAATATTAAGCAAGATCTTTAAGTTACTCTCAAAACGTAATATGAACGACATGAGTTATCAATACAAATAAGGTCCAAAACATAAACATTACAACAATGTTTCTTAAACCAATGATGTTTCTTAAATTTTACATAACAAACTAGCAGCAGCCTACACACGTACTGTCCTCTCTTGCAATGCTGTCAATACCATTATAGCAGCAACCATTAATGCAGACAACACAGTAACAATTGATGCAAACAAGCCAAGATGAGAGCTACACTTGCTCCATGACTCTTTTGCTAAATTCATGTCTGATATCCCTTAATTTATCACGGACTTGTTTAACTTCCTTATAAAAATAAAAAAGAAATAAAAAAAAAAGCTATGAGTAAGGATATGCTCTCATTACCATTAAATACTTTCTTAAGAAACAAAGAATCTTAGAAAAGAGAGGAGAAAATTCTTTATTTGTTGCCGTCGGAGATAGGTTCATTCTCTCATTTATCTTTTTCTTTTTCTCTCATTCTACTTTTTGTGCAGACTACATAATAGCTGGGTTGCATAGTAAATGGCGGTCAAAGCATTGAGCATTATTGAACAAAAAAAAATTTAGCAACCTTTTAAACACAACATTTAATTCTTTCAAAATTTTACTCTTATTGTTAGCTCCATTCTCTTGTCTTTCATGAAACACACTCACTTTTGTACTTTTCTAAAATTCATATATATATATATATATTTTTTAGTATAACAAATTAGAAATATTGAAATTTAAACCTCCGATTTTAAAAAAAGAAATAGGTATCAATTGTTGTTGAACAAAAGGCTCATATTGATGGAGAAAAATGGTTAAGATTTAAAATAACACACTTTTGTAAGTGACCGTTTAGCTCTTAATTAACCATATTCCCTTTGGACCAATGAACTATCCAGATGATTCATTCTCTTTTTGCTTTTCCTTTTTTCATCCTTATTATTAAAAAACTGGACATTTTAAACTCTTCTCTTTTTATTCTCACGGTTATTTAACTTTCTTCTCTTCTTTCAAACTAATTAAATTTATAATGAACAAGTTTATATTTTCAAGCTATATATCATGTCCTTTCATCAAAAAATTTATAAATTTTTTTTATTTTAAGAATATGATATCAACATTACGTATTATCTTTCCTTGATTAATAGTTGTATTTTCTTATTTGCATATTGAAATGGTGTCTTATCTTTTCCAATATATGTTATCTTAATTTAAAGTTTTATTAAGTATCTACTTTTTAAGTTTTTGTTTTTATTTAATGATGCTTACCATCATATATTTAATAAGTAAGTTTTAATTATATTATTACAAAGGAGCTAATTAATTATTTGAAAAAAAGTTACAAACAAAAAGAATATATCTGGGTAACAAATAAAATCTAATTATAGTATTGATTAAATGTGACAAATTACAAATAAAAGAAATAAATATTTTTTAGACCTCATCTTTACCATCCTTGAAAATTTGACAATTTATTACTTTTAAAAAGTTTTATCTTTGCAATAGGATGGAGGGAAAAAAAATACTTTAACTCCTTAACAATGATCAAAATTCTTCCTTATTATCATTGGAAATTTGAGAACTTATTATTTAAAAAAAAGTTATATTTTTCATTTTTCTCTCTTAGTTGTCAAACATTTAATGTTAAAGACTAATTTTGTGTTCACCACCATTAAATACTTAACAACTAAAAAATGTAAAAATATATATATTTTTTAAAAATAATGAGTTTTCAAGATTTTTATGGTGATGAAAACAAGATTGATTCTCTCACGGGAATGCAATCTCTATTATCAAGGGCACAACCGTAACATTTATCTCTGTATCAATTTCACAACATCAACCTTTTGAAATCTCAAGATGTCAACGACATGTACTAGGGCCACATCGATGAAGAAATTTGGAGGAGGGAATGGATGACCTCAATTGACTCTCTCCCCGCCTTCCCATTATTTATTTATGTATTTTTTTGTTTTCTTATTTTAATTTTACATTATTTGTTGTTATAAAAAATAATAATTTAAATAAATTATTTCAAATTATTTTTAATTATTTTTAAATTCCTATATTAGATGTTAAAATATTTCCACTCATATATTTAATTAAGATTATTGCAGATCAATATTAAAATTATTTCGATGTAAAATTATAAAATTATTTTGTGTTTTTAAATAATTTATTATATTTTTGTGTTGGATATATATCATTCTTAATTATATAAAAATATCAGTATTACTCAAGTTTACAAGTATGGTGATTAAACATATGTTGAATTTTAGTCTCATTAAATTACAACTAAAATCTCATTTATTAATCTAAATAATTTTTATAAGTTTTTTTTTTATTTCCATAAATTTTCCCAAAACTTTTGCCAACAATGATATGTCCTCTATACAATTGGAACTTCTATATTTTTCTCGATATCAACATTTTAAATCTTGCTTAAATATATTTTATTATGACTTAATTAATAATCTAAATAAGTCAAATTAAACTCTCATTTGGAAATTCAAATAATTTTCACTAATTGTAGATATAAGTCTTTCCTAATTCAAGATCTCACTCTAAGATTAGATGATTAATAAATTAGACAAAGTATTTTATTTTAATTTTATTTTTCCTCAAATCCTTAAAAAGAACAAATTTTATGTAATTGAGAAATAATGAACCTATATATGAGCTAGGCCGAAAACAAACAATTCTCCTATGGATAAAAGAAGAAAAAAAAACACATGAAACTTGTTTGAGCTGAAAATATTCAACATCGCTGAGGGTTGTATGGAGAAGGCGACATCATTATGGGTTCCACTTTCATTTTGATCAACTTTCTGCTCCTCAACATTACTATTAACTTCTTCAATAACATCATTGATTCATTGTATCGACCAATCATTTTGAAGAAGCCACTTATTTTGCATTACTTTTGCTGCAACAATTTCAACGGTGAATTCAATGCCCTCTGTTTTTCTTCTTGGATTGTAAGAAAGTAGGCTTTCTCCACCGTTGGAAGAGGCCGAATTTGAAGGATTTGGCTGACGATGGTGGAATATGAATCATTTAACCCCACAAGAAATTGTATAACTTTTTCTCTCTCCACATGCTCACTCAACTTCTGCTTTGCACCCAAGGAATAACATTGAGGAAGATCACTGTAATTTCGAAGTTGGTCCCATAATATCTTTAGCTTTTTGAAGTAAGATGTAACGGATGAACTTTTTTGACGATGAGATGCGAAGCCCTTGTAAATTTGGAATATTTCCGAATCATTGCTTTGAGAAGACCATTCTTGTTTCGTATTCGAGCCCACTGGTTTATATATGGAGTTTTCACGAAGGACAATGTTCGCGACATGTTTACCTACATATATAGGAATTTCACCTATATATATAGGGATTTCAACACAAGCTACAATAAGGTTCAGCAGAGATCTTTTTAGTCTTAGATTTTTTAAAAAATTAAGATTCAAAATGTGGAAAATAAAATTATAGATAAGAAATTTTGGGAAGTTTCCAAAAGGGTCCTATTATAACCTAAATGTAGTTGTTTATAGCAGTACAATGATAATGAAAATTGCAATTAAACTCTAATTACTAATTGAAAAATTAATAAAAGTAATAAATTACTAAATTTAACCGTTTAAATTAAATAAACAACCAATTATCCAATAAGTATTCATATGTCAATAGTGAGTGGTACTAGAATCTATGTGTGTTTGAGAGGGATGATAGATTTAAAAAAGATTTAAAATATAATTGATTTTTGAAAATCATCTTGATTTTAAACGTTTCTACCAAAATGGATCACACCAATATTTTGAACCAACAACCATTTGAAGCAAGAAAAATTGGGCCAAATAATTATGAAGGATAATGGAGAAGTTTCAAGTGTTATATATATATATATATATAAAAGATAAGAACTCACCGTCACCGTCACCAGAAAGCTTGTGTAAGTTACTGTTAAGTTGAGGATGAGCAAGTGGAGTGTGAGAGGCTCCACCGTTACTACCGACGTTGTTAATATTTTGGCGTTGACCCGATCCATGGATGGATAAATGGGTGGGAGAAGAATTATGTGGAGAATCAAAAAATTTTGGAGCGATGAGATTGGCGTTATTAGCAGTACTAGCATCAGGAGCAGGGGAATCAATGGCTGGGGCTGGTTTTGGTTTTGGAGCAGCGTTGTGGGAAATTGGTGTGGGCCCACGCGGTTGTTCAATCTCAAGCCCATTACGCGGGGATATGGATGGTCTGCTACTGCTAATTTTAGCGGTGGTTTTGGTGCTGGAATTGTTGTTGTTGCGGTCTAATTTCTTCAGATAATTCTGGAGGTCGTCAGCATTTTTCTCCGCCGTGTGCCGCCGCTGGGAAGTTCTAGTTCTGGGCGGAGTCCGGTGGTCGGAGGGATCGGCCACCGACGAGGCCGTGGGCCGCCGGGACTGTGACATGTAAAAGTGGAGATCATCAGCGAGGGGACGACTGGGTGATCCAGCGAAGGATCTCGGGGGACTGATTAGGCCTCTCGCCATCTCTCTCCCGCTCTCGATGGGAACGCCCAGTGAAGACTTTTAAGACGTCTCAACTCATCGACGGCCACGATGTCTCAGATGTGAAATGGAGGGTTTTCCGGGTCAAGTCAATCGCACAGGATTATTAATTCAAATTAGCACACCCTTAATTTAACTTTGTCACTAAACCAGATAAGCAATCACGTTTTCACGACTTTTATTATTATTATTATTATTATTAATGGGGTGTCTATTTATATTACATATACCTTCTAAATTTGAAAATTCAGTTCACACTTGTGGGTGCATTGTAGGTGTGAAATGTGAATTAGGACTTTTCCCATCCCCCGCCAACGCCCATGCATTTATTTATAACTGTTTTCAACTTGGGCGGAATATTTTGGGATATTATAAATTATATAATATTGTAAAATTATAATTATATAAAAATTTACAACACAAAAATTAATTTATATTGTTTTAGATTCATATAAATATTTAGTCGGTAACTAACTCACTAATTACAAATATATTACTAAATATATTTTTTTATTGAGATTCAATTTTCAAATAACTATTAAACACGTATTCGAAAATACTGAAACATACAACACAACTAACTCTTTCATTGAATCTCTTGTTTTTGTTTTACCTAATTTCGGTTTTTAGATCACTAATTAAACACGTCCTCATTTTTTTTAAACAAAACACGTCCTCGTTTGTATTTCTATATGCTTAATTAACTTTTATGCTATAGTTTCAATTAAGTGATTTAACCCCTAGGCTTGAACAAGTACGGTAACTTTTACTTGTTCACAATTTTTGCAACTTATATCTTAAAATACTTCCTTTTTCTTTGGAATTTTGTTTCTATACTATATCAAATTAAATCACAATAAAAGTTTCCAATTTTGTTCGATACTTTTTTTTCCTTTTAGCAAACAATTCCGATTGATAAGAGACATATTCACATAGCATCATTATACGAGAAAAATGGTTATTGACGATAAAAATGAGATGATTTCCAAAATATCCATGAACTATATTTTCTCTCTTTCTTTCTTTTGTTTAAAGGAAAACTTAAGTATGGTGAGAAATATGGATCCATGAACTTAATTACACTCTTAAACTTTTTAAAATTTTTATTTTTAGATTAAATAATATTAAGTCATCATATTTTCATATTTAAGAGTTAAAATGAAGCTTCTTAAATGATAAGGATATAATAGAAAAAATTATCCTAAGACATAAATTAAACTTCGAACATTTACCACACGTGTACCCATTTTTTTAAAAGTCACCGACACGTCTCACTTTTCCATCTTCACCAAAAAAAAATTAATGGAAGGTCACTTTTTAAACAAATTCAAAATTTAAAATTTAAGGATAAAAATAGAGCTTTTAAAATTTTAAAAAGCTACTATTGAAACTTATCTAAAATTTATTGGCATTTAGTATAATTGAACCAAAAAAAAAAAATTATGTTGATGCAAGAATTTGACCTTTAGGGATCTTGCCGAATTCACACCAAACTTCGATAATTACGGAGCTTGCAAAACCGAATAGCACAAAACTACTTTTGTGGGTTTCCATGTTTAAGTTAGAATTGGAGAAATTGTATATAGATGTGGAGGGTAATAGAGTATACCTCTAGGATTTAGTTTGTTGTTCTATTTATATGAGTTTTTCCATCAAGATCTTCTTGGAAATCTTCCACGTGGGACTTTTCCAACCCATGGTTGATAATGGAGATATAGAAATGGAGGCTTCCTTGGACTGAGCCACGTCTTATGATCATAGAAGATTGAAGAGACGGTTGAGAATTGCTTGGTGTCGAGCAGGGGTCGGGATCAAGTCATGATCGGTCAGAACGATTTAGACTCTCTAGTCTTTGCTTCGTCGCTTTGTACAATTGGACTCTCCCAGTCTTTGATCTAGTCTCAATCTTTCGCTTATTTGTCGAATCTCGTTTCACTCCACTCATAACAGATTATATGCATGTAACATGATCCCGAAGGGTTATTGACAATAAGAAATATTGAAATATTGAAATCAAAATTTTGGAATTTGGTTTGGCATGTGAGAGACGGCTAAAAGTAGTACGTATCTCCCCAGTTCCACCCTTTCTCCTCATGCGACAAAATTTCATACTCTTAAATGTTCTCAATGTCTATAAAGTATAAACCTTGAATTCGATTAAAATAACAATTTCTTTTATGTGTAATTTGTTTGTTTTCTAATCAACATATCAAAATTATAACTAATTTTTTACTTAATAAAGGTTCCACAGTTGCTGAGTAATGAAAATCAAACTATTAAAAAGATAAACTTTTCAATATAACTCATTTTATTCAAATGGAAGAATGGACAAATCTTACTTCCACGCTAATCATTTGAAATCCTACTTATGTCTTTGACATGGTTTATTTGTATTAAACAATTAATATTTTGCATTTATTAAAAAAGTGAATCTCATGAAATATTTTTACTCACTAAAAATAGACCACATACATAAATAAATAAGAACTCCTGCTTAATTACCAAAACAACACATTTCACTTTTAATGACACGTCATGCCCTATCATTAAAGGGTAATAACGACGGTCAGGTGTTCAAAACTATTCGAGTGTCCTGTCCTTGTTTCTCTTTAATGACGATCGCTGTTAATAACGATCCTTACTCGTCATTAAAAGTGAATGTCACTATATATGTGCATTAAATGTGCGTCATCGTTTTTTCCGTATTTTCTTTCGTTCTTCATTCTTTTTTCGACCATCGTTAAAATCCAGATTTATTATAGTGCGTGAGAGAAATCTTTTATAACTCAAGATCTTACTTTAATGGGAGGATTAGGTAATATTAATAGCTTGAATAAAGTATTTTTATTCCTCAAATCCTAAGAAAAACACTTCTCATGTAATTGAGTAATAACGAACATATGAGGACTAAAAGAAACAATTCTCATGAAAGGAAAAAAAAAATCGTAACCTTAAAACTTGTTTGAATCTAAAATATTCAACATCGCACTGTCAAAGTCTATGAGCAATGGTCCATTAGAGAAGTTTGGAATTTCGACGTGGTCATGGTTTCCCTTTCATTTTGATCCACTTTCTTTGCTCCTCAACATTAATTACTATAAACCTTTCCAGCAGTAACTGATCATTATGAAGAAGCTGCTTATTCTGCATTATATTACTTTTGCTGCAATAATTTGTAAGGACAAAATCAGCTCCACATCCGTTTCTCTTCTCGAATTACAATAGAATATGCTTTCTCCACTGTTGGAAACGGCCGAATAAGAAGGATTTGGTGGCAGATAGTGGAATATGGATCATTTAACCCCACGAGAAATTGCATAACTTTTTCTCTCTCCACATGTTCACCGGAGGAACAACATTGAGAAAGATCATTGTAGGTTTCAAGTTCGTCCCACAATGTCTTTAACCTTGTGAAGTAAGATGTAATAGATGAGTTTCCTTGACGATGAGATGCAATGTCCTTGTAAATTTCGAATATTCTCGGAACATTGCTTTGTGAAGAACATTTCGAATGAAGGACAATGTGATCATCTTGACCACCATATATAGGAATTTTACCTACGTATATGGGGATTTCGGGATAAGCTAAAAAAATGAGCATAGTTCTAGTTAGCCTTACATTTTAAATTCAAAATGTTTTTGCATTATTTGACTTTTAAAACTTTAAACATTATATAAGAAATTGCAATTAAACTCCAAACTAATTGACAAATTAATATATCTCAAAAAAAATTGACAAATTAATAAAAGAAATAAACTAAATTAACTGCTTAACTAAATAAAAACAATTAAACTACCAATTATGGAATAATTGACCTATATGAATATTGATGGATTTTAAAACCAATTTGCAATTACCATGGTAGTCTACGTTTATTATAAATCTTTTTAAAGTTGTTTTGTTTTCGATGGTTGTATCTTTAAGAATATACAAGGTAAGAAGTCTCACCGTCATTGCCACCGCTTCCGCCTCTAGAAAGTTTGTGTAAGTGATTGTTAAGTTGAGGATGAGCAAGTGAAGTATAAGCGGTTCCACCGTTATTACCGACGTTGCTGATATTTTGGCGTTGACCCGATCCATGGATGGATAAATGGTTGGGAGAAGAATTATTTGGAGAATCAGAAAATTTTGGAGCGATCAGATTGGCGTCAAGGGGATCGGATCTGGAACCAGAAGCAGTGGGTCCTTTTGGTCTTGGAGCAGTGTTGTTGGAAATTAGCGTGGCCCCATTACGCAGCCTCTGGTGGCGAGTAGGAGGGGGCGCTGTGGTTTTGGTGCTGGAATTGTTGTTGTTGTTGTGGTCTAGTTTCTTCTGATGATTCTGCAGATCGTAAGGATTTGGCGGAGCGATATGGGTTGCACGTATGGCATTAGAACTAGAAGTGGCTTTTAACCAATGCTCGTAAAACATCTGCTCGCTGGGATTGACCACCGTCGTGGGTCGGGGGGGTGGTGACATCCTGTAATTGGGCCTCATCGGCGGATTTGCGGCGGCATTGTTTGGTCCAGAAAAGGCTCTCGGGGGACTGATTAGGCCTCTCTTAGTCATTTCTCTCTCTCACTTCGCCCCAAACCCAGTGAAGATTTTTCAGACTCATCAACGCCCACGATGCGATATCTCCTTTAGTTCAGATGGGAAATGGATTGTTTTTGATCGGGTCAAGTCAACCGCACAGGATTATTAATTGTAGAGCCTTAATTTTGTCAGTAGCTAAAACCAAATAATCCATGACGTTTTGATTTCGACGACTTTTATTATTCATTTATTTATTTTTATTAGGTTCGCATATGGGGTGGGTGCATGTATCTGTGTGAATGGCCCACGTTAGGACATTGACTTTAGAAATGGCAATGGAGTGGTGCGGGCTCTATTGGGGATCTTCCCCCATCTCTTGTCGGGACTTAGCTCGTATGTACAGTAATTTAATTATATTATATTATAATCAAAACGAGTATAATTAAGTAGTAATTGATAATAAAAAGAGTAGTCCACTTATATTATAAATCATTGTTAGATATCTCCTACTTTTTTCAGTGTGAGATCCTTAACGAAACTAATCACTAGTGACCACGTAAAACGCCCCACCACGAAATGAAAATGAAGGCCGCCACCAAAGATCTGCATTCACTGTTGCCGCCGTGGCTGAGATTATAATATTTCGTCATACTATTCTGTTCGTGTGACTCCACGGTCGCCAGATGTGTCTGTTTATATGTGAGTTAAATAAGTTTGTTCTCGTACTTTTTTCCTTCTTAATTTCGTTGCAGTTTAATTAAAGTAGAATATGTTCTCCCACTAAATCAGGATGGCATCTCCAACCCAATCCTCAAATTTAAATCTGTCTCAAAACTCAGGCGGCTTTTTATATCAAATATGATTCAAAACTCCATTTTAGTGACTAGACTACATTCAGTGTTTTTATGTTTTTAGGTGCATTTCATATTTCATAGTCTCTTATGGAAAAGAAAGAAAAAAAAAACCCTCAAACCTTAGTATTTGTGTTTTAGGTTGGATGACAGTGGAATTGAGTTAGAGGGCAGCGCTGCAGACGGCTATGGCAGAAGAAGCAAAAGACCTTTCTAGGGAGTACGCTCTGAATATAATTCCTAGTGATAATGATATTATGACCGTTAAATTATAAGTTTAGTGGTGAATTTCAAAAAATGCTTATAGATGGTTGAACTTTAGAAAGATGTCTAATAAATCATTAAACGTCTTGTCCAATAGATATCTGAACTTTCAATTTTGTGTCTTATAATTTTCATAAACCTATTGTATATAAATGGAAAGGTTAAAGTTTGCGAGTTTTAAAAGCTATTGGACAGATTGAGGACGTACTTATTTCACCTTATTATCATTCAGAAGCCATATCTTAACAATTTATTACCTTTTTCTTTTCGAAGTATATGTATCTTTGATTGATTTTTCTTTTTGATGCGTACTTGCAGAGGATGGAAACGTCGTCGTTTGGGAATTTGACAAGTAGAGTACAGGAGAAGTATGAAGTTAATTTATTCGATCAGAGCAAAATTATCAAGTTCTGAATTTTGTACAAAATTTGGAAAGATTAATTAGAGAAAAGAATGATATTTGAGTAATGAAAATCAAACTATTTCAATGATATATAAGAGAAAAAATGAAACTTTTCAACGCAATGTTACTCAAACGGAAGAACTTACCTCCACACTATGACACTAGCTAATAAGTAGAAATCCTATTTATTTCTTAAAGTGGTTTATTTGTATTAAGCAGTTTTATTACATTTAATAACTAAATGAATCCCACCAAATATTTTTATTCACTGATTAAAAATAAACCATATAAAAAAAACAAGTACGAGTTCCTACGTACTCACCAATCATAGAGATAAATATTTTCTACCTCGATATATATCACATTGTATTAGATGACTAGTAGTTTGGACAAATATTTTTGTCAAGTCTTGAAAAAAAATACATTTCATATGATTAATAAATAATGAACATATGAGGGCGAAAAGCAAGAATTCTCTTATGGATAAAAGAGAAAAAAACATAATTAACTTGAAATTTATTTGAGCTAAATATCTTCAACATCGCACAGAAGCATTACTATTTCTGCAACAATTTTTAACGACAAAACAATGTTTCTCTGTTTTTATTCTTGCATTATTATAATGGAATAGGCTTTCTCCACCGTTGGAAATGGGCGAATAAGAAGGATTTGGGAGCAGATGGTGGAATATGAATCGTTTAACCCCACAAGAAATTGCATAACTTTTTCCCTCTCCACAAGCTTACTTGGCTTCTGATCTGTTGCACTGTAGGAACAACATTGAGGCAGATCACTGTAAGTTTCAAGTTCTTCCCATAATGTCTCTAGCTTTGTGAAGTAAGATGTAATGGATGAGTTTCCTTGACGATGAGATGCAATGTCCTTGTAAATTTCCAATATTCTCTCAGCATTGCTTTGAGGAGAACATTCTTCCTTTGTATATGGGCCGACAGATTCATCCATGGAATTTGCACGAAACACCATCTTCGCATGATGTTTACCTACAATATATAGGACAATTTCAAGATCAAGACAAGCTCTATTAACCCCGTGCTTTCTGACCCTGTCAAAATCACTTTGGATCATTATCAAAATTACTCATTTTTCTCTTTTTTTTCTATTGATCATATTTGACAAATTAAAAATTTTGTTTTAAGAAAGTTTAAAATCACTTTAAAATTGATTTTTGAGGTATGGTTCGCATGGTGGTTTTGAAAAATCAATTATATTTAAACTTATTCTACCATTACTCCATACCATTACTCCATACCGTACCCCGAACTCAAAATTGAAAGATTATATATATAAAAAATATTTGGGAAAGTTTCCGCAAAGGGGTCCCTTTAGAACCAAAATGTAATTACTTAGAGCATCACAAAGATAGCGAAAATTGCAATTAAACTCTAGTTAATTTCTAATTGACAAATTAATAAAGTAATAAACTAAATTAACAGTTTGACTAAATAAAAATAAAAATAAAAGACCTCTGTTTGTAACTTCAGGATTTGCAAATGAAAATGATTTTTAATGGAATAAATACTTTGAACCAACATTTAAAAGCCATTTGCAAGGTTGAAATGGGGAATCTTTTGCAGCCAAATAATCATCAACAGAGAAATGGATGGAGAAATTTGAAGAGCAGTTATATAAGCTCACCGTCTATAGAAAGCTGTTGTAATTGATTGATAACATGAGGATGACCGATCACTGTAGTAGAATCTTCTTCTTCGCCTTCAATGTTATTGTTGTTCGCATCTTGGTGATGACCCGATCCATGGCTGGAACCAGAAGCAACGGAAATTAGTGTTGGCCCACGCGGTTGTTGTTGAACTCCATTAACGTTCGAGTTTCTACTTGTGGTAATTTTAGCGATCGTTAATTTGGTGGTGGAATTGTCGTTGTGGCCGTTAGGATTATTTGGCGCCCATGTGGGCCGCCGCCGGGAAGGCACGACGGGGGTGGGTTTTGGCGAACTGTTTTTGGTTGCACGAATAGCATTAGAACCAAAAGTGGGTTTTGTGTGAGTGGTCTGCTGCTGTTTGGGATTGACCACCCTCGCCGCCGTGGATCGCCGGGTTGCTGACATGTAATTGGGCATCGACGGCGGATTGGCGGCGGCATTATTTTGTGAGTCGGATTCTGTGACAGAAAATCGGCTTTTCGGGGGACTGATTAGGCCTCGGCCTCTCATTTTTCTCATTCGCCCAAACACATAGCTGGTTTCGACTTTTAAGACATCTCATCTCATCAGCCTCAAAGTCAACGTCCACGATGCGATCCAATGGAGGGGTTTTCGGGTCAACTCAATCCCCACTCACACACTCACACGATTATAATTAATTAAAATTAGCTTCACAAATCAGAGTTTTATGTCACCAAACCAGATAAGCAATGACGTCTTCACCGCTACTTGTATTATTTCTTCATTTATACTTCCTTTCGGTCACATATGGTGAGTGCATGTTATTGCCACTCGAGGATTTGACTTTGACTTTTCAACCGTTTATTATTAAGGTCTCGTCTCTTGATCTATCACCTACTTTTTCATCCACCGCCACCATATAATATGTACCCATCCAACAAATGACATTTTTCTTATTTTTAGATTTACTAAATCAAATAAATTTGAGTTGTTAAATTGAAATGACAAGAAATAAAATAAAAATTAATCGAAATAAGATTAATGGAAATAAAAATGTTATTCATATGATATTTTTTACTTAAAATTATCTAAACTTGAAAAAAAAACTTATTTTTCTCCTGGAATTATAATAGAATATGTTTTCTCAATCATTGAAAACACGTGAATAAATTGAGTTTGCAAGCTAAATATAAATAAAATCTCAAATCGACTAAGGAAGAACATAACTCACGGTATATAGATGAGACAATTATCTCAATTAGTATAAAGCATTTTTGGTGAAATCAAAACCAAGACCGGCGGGATATGACAMACTCATCTTCTCCGCTGCAAATACATCTAATAGAGGGAGATCATTGATGAGTTTCCCTGATGAGATGCAAATGTCTTTGTCTGCATGTTTGCCAGATCTTTACCTACACATATATAGTAATTTCAGGATCCTGGAACTCCATAAATACTAATATGTTGGAAGTGATTGTTAAGTTGAGGATGACCAAATGGAGTGTAAGTTCGTATTTTTGGTGTTGACCTGATCCATGGCTGGGCAAATGCTCGGACTTGGGAGAATTATTATTGAAGAATCGAAATATTTTATTAGAAGCAGGGAAATCAGATAAGGAAGCAGAAGCAATTACTCGTTTTGGTATTAGAGCAGTGTTCTTGGAAAATGACATGTTTTGAAACAATCTCAATAGCTTAAGATTAAAATTAAACTTAAATAATAATAATGATATAATTGAACACATATCTTAAAAGTACAAATGCATAAATATGAAACTTGAAACCTTTCTCTCTCACGTGTACCACACTTTTTTACAAGTCATCGCTCACTTTACCATGTTCATCTCAACCCAAAAGTTGATGAAATGGTAGTTTTGAAATAAATTTAAAGTTTAAGAATAAAAATAAAAGAGTATAAGAGTATTATTGAAACCTACTCTAAAGTTAATGGACATTTGATATAATTTAATCTAAAAAATATTAACTATGTGATTATACGCATGTAACGTGATTCTGAGGGTTATTGACAATAACATATGATGCATTTCTCTCTCTACCAATTAATTATGTGATTATAAAATATTGGAATCTAAAATTTGGAATTTAGTTTGGCATGTGAGAGCCAAACTTTAGAGTGCGTGCCTTCCCGGTTCCACCCTTCCTCCACATACGACAAAATTTCACACACCAAACGTTGTTGCTCTCAATGCCTAGGTATAAACAATGATTAATTTGTTTTAATCCTCGAAATTCTTAAACTACAATTTCTTTATGTTTGCAATGTGTTTGTTTTCTCAATCATCGTGCACATAACATAACATATGAAAACTTCAATTCTTGACTAAACAAACACTCCATCAAAATATTACAATCTTACCTAAATAGAAGAATGGACAAAATCTTACTTCCACACTAATTAGTGTAGAAAGCTTACTTATTTCTTGACGTGATTTATTAGTATTGAGTAAGCACCTTATATTGCATTTAATAACTAAATCAAATTCATGAAATGTTTTTACTCACTAAAAATAAACTACATAAAAAAGTAAGCATGAATTCCTACTCACCAATCGTGGAGATAAGTCTTTTCTAATCCGTGTGAGATCTCACACTAATATGAAGATAAGTCGTTTCTAACTCGAGATCTCACACTAATGGTTGATTATTAAATGATTAATATTTGGAAAGTTATTTCTTTTTGTCCTCAAATCCTGAAAAAAAAATACATTTTATGTAATTTAGAAATAATGAACATATGAGAGCGAAATGCAATTTTTTTTTTCTTTTTTTCTTTTGAGAAGGTGCAACAATTCTTCTATGGATAAAAGGGGAAAAAAAAATCATAACCTGAAACTTGTTTGAGCTGAAAATATTCAACATCGCACAGGAGAGCCAAGATCTATGAGCAATGACTCATTTGGGAAGCTGGGAATTTCGACATTATCTTCAGTGTTGCCATTAACTTCTTCATGAATACCATCATCATAACCATTACTCGACTGATCATTCTGAAGAAGCCACTTGTTTTCCATTACTTTTGCAGCAACCATTTCTAACGACGTAACCAGCTCCATCCGTTTTTCTTCTCGAATTATAATGGAATATGCTTTCTCCATCGTTGGGAAGGGCTGAATAAGTAAGATTTGGGGGCATATGGTGGAATATGAATTGTTTAATCCCATGAGAAATTGCATAACTTTTTCCCTCTCCACATGCCCACTCAGCTTCTCCATTGCACCGCAGGAACAACATTGAGGCACATCGTCACTGTAAGTTTCAAGTTCGTCCCATAATATCTTTAGCTTTGTGAAGTAAGATGTAACGGATGAGTTCTCCTGACGATGAGATGCAATGTCTTTGTAAATTTGAAATATTCTTGGAGCATTGCTTTGGAAAGATTCTTCCATCGTATCAGAGCCAATTGATTCATATATCGAATTTGCGTGAAGGATGATGCTCGCAAGATCTTTACCTACATATATACAAATTTCAGGATAAAGCGCTATAATAATTAGTAACTAGATCTAGTTCCTCCTGGATTAAAAAAAAAAAAAAAAATTGATTCAAAACTTTTTTGTCTTTCTTTAATTTTTCAGGATTTAAACATCATATATAAAAAATTTTGGACAGTTTCATTGGCATTGTAAATTAATTTTGAGAACCCATAAATATTAATATACTATAGAGCTACAAACTCGCGAGTGTATGGTCCAAAAATGAGATCCGTCTAAGATTGATGAGGAAAAAAAATCACGATCTTGAGGGCATGTTACAGATTCCAACGAGCTAACATAGATTTAGAATAAACAATTATTGAAGATGGATCTATGAATATTGATACTTATTACAACCTATAAATGAAAATGTAGCTGTTTATAGCATTATAAGCATTACAAAGATAATGGAATTGGCAATTAGACTCTAATTACTAATTGAAAAATTAATAAGGTTTAAAACAAATTTTGGACAAATTAACAACCATTTGCAGGAGCCAAAAAATCATGAAGGGTAATGGCGAAGTTTCAAGAGTTATATACAAGATAAGAGCTCTCACCGTCTATAGAAAGGCGTTGCAAGTGATTGTTAAGTTGAGGATCGGCAAGTGGAGTGTAAGTTCCGCCGGAATAAGGGCTGTGATTCTTCATATCATGGTGTTGAGCCGATCCAGGGCTGGGTAAATGCTTGGAGCTGGGAGAAGAATTAGCAGCAGGGGAATCGGATCTGGAAGCAGAAGCAATGGCTATGGCTGGTTTTGGCTTTGGAGTAGTGTTCTTGGAAATTGGTGTGGGCCCACGCGGTGGTTCAACCCCATTACGCAGCCTCTGCGGCTGAGTACGAGGGGACGATGGTTTAGCACCGCCAATTTTAGGCGTCGTTTTGGTGTCTAATTTCTTCTGATTGTGCAGATCGTTAGGATTTGGCCGCCGGGAAGGCACGATGGGAGCAGTGGGTTTCGGTGAAGGTCTGATTCTGGGCGGACTTTTTTTGGTTGCACGTGTAGCAGTGGCACTGGGTTTTCTGTGAGTCTGAGTGTGCTGCTGCTCCGCCGTGGTGGGCCGGCGGCGTGGTGACATGTAATTGGGCCTCGACGGCGGATTTGGGGCGCCATTATTGTGCGGTCTGAAATCTCTGGGAGAAGATCTGGATCTTGGAGGACTGATTAGGCCTCTCAGAGTCATTTTTTCTCCCACACAGTAAACAGGAAACAGAGCTGAGTTTTGATTTACCAGCTTTCTTGAAGATTTTTCAGGCATCTCATCAACGGCCACGATGATATCTCGTTTTTGGGGCCAAGTCAATGGCACGTGCCCATCCATTCACAGGATTATTAATGGAAATTAATTTTTGTAGGTTCAATATACCAGATAAGCAATAACTGCTTCCAGATTTGACACTTTTATTTACATATATCTTGTAGAATTCTCATAGTAATTACAAAATTCTGTCATATGTGGTGGGTGCATGTGTATATGTGAATTGAGATTTTGACTTTTCAACCCTTTGTCTTCTTTTAAGAAGTTACTTTTTTTACTCCAAGTTTAGTTAATTTTCTCTCTTTTAAGTTTTCAATTTAATCCCTTCAACTTTAGACTTGGACGATTAATGTAACTTTTATATTTTGCTCCAGTTATACTATATTAGCCTACTAACGCATGAAAGAAAATTAATTCTTGAATTAAATTACACAAGATTGACGGCTAAATCTTTTAAGACCCACAAATTACAATAGAAATCTAATTCTACAGTCATATTATTTGTATTTTGTTTATATTTGAAGAGTATGAGATCAAATTACTTATCTATAGGATAAAGGCACCTCGCAGTAACAGCAATATTTATTTGAACAAGATCTATTCTAAAGTATAATTTCAACTCTAAAATTATTTTTTCGAGAATATTAACCACTCAATAATCAAAATGCTTTTACTTCAAGCAAATGAATAAATCCATAAGAAAAAATCAAAGTCTTCCTAACAATTTCAATGTCGGAATAACTCTCTTTTGCACCGCTTCAAAGAGAATTTATACCAATAAGAAAATCGCAGAAAACCCACCACAAGTTTTGAGTGAACCACACAAACATAGCAAAATGGAAGGGTGGATGCTGCCCCAATAGCCACCAAAGGCTTAGCCTTTAGTTGATGATATGCAGTGAAGAAGATGACACTAAAAGCCAACACCATGCATACTCCAGCAACAAATAGCATCATCAGTCCCACCATCAACTTAATGGGCACCAATTCCAAGAAATCACCTTCAAAATGGCGCGGCAGAAGAAGAAATAGAAAGCCGAGTATCGAAGTTATAGATGACACCACAGATACAATGTTTAATGTTCTGAACACAGTGAATCCATGGTTTTGCCAGAAAGTATGAATTATTATAATATTATTGTTTGTAGTACTGTCCCCATGGCCATAATTGGCCTTTGACATCATGAAGGATGCTATGGAAACCACAATTATAATTAAGGTTGCCATTGACATACACGTGAATGCTGTAATTCTGATCTGCTCTCTACACTCGCCTAGAAGGTCATCRTGCATCAATGCGAACAAAGGGTTGRRCGACCAACATCTATGATAAGCTAGATCAACAATCCCATGATTATATCGTACACGAACAGATCCAATCATATAATGCTCAGAAAACTTGATCATGTCCTGCACGGCCTTCAATTTTACAACATTTCAAATCTTAGATATTTTTCTTGTTTCTTAAGTTTTTCCGAATAAAAAATCGGAATAAATTTGGTAACCATTTTGTTTATTGTTTTAGGATTCAAACTCACGACCT